GACATGCACAATCTTCTCAGTCGAGGGTCGCAATTAAACAATCACTTGATGATGATTTATTTAAGGACCTTTATCATAACATAACATTGTCTATTACATCGTACCTTATTTTCATATACATAATGAAAATAAAATTCTACATTTTGTTTTAAATTTATTTATTATTCGTGCTGATACGTTATGTTGTAGAAATATGTAGTAAAACTGTTTATAAAGAAATAAATATTTTGATGGTTGTGATAGAGTGACCATATATAATTTAGTTTTATAATTTTTGATTAGAGAATACAAAAATAAAATTAATATCGAAAGAGTTTCGCAACAGATATACTATGGTTTCTTAAATGTCGGTAACGCGTAGGCGCCACCTCTGCTGTTTCTTGCTCATTCTTCTTGTGATGAATCTGCATTCCGAATGAGTGGTAGAATCAAAATATGACTATTCAAAAGTGCTTGTAATGAGTTTATTTGAATAAAGATTATTTCGATTTCCGTTTCTATTTCTGGTGTTTCAGGCATTCATAGACTATGGTAACCCTTTACCATCAGCTTGATTGCCACCATCGTAATATAAAAAGAAAGATGCGATTTTGTTTCACCGTTTGATGCCATCGTAGTATCAAAAACTACGCGGGCCTCGAGTTCTCCGCCGCTTCGTTCGCCCGTCCTGATTGCAGTTCGGGGCATAAAATTAAACCCATTGTGCAACTCGGTGAGATGCCGTCGTTTATTTAGTGCGGTTTGCGGAATCTGGAGAGCTGCTCGTGATTCATTGTGTTTGCATTGTCCGGAGTGGCCGCCGGCCATCTTTATTGGGTCACAGTTTAAAAATGTCGAAAACATTCTGTGGTTCTCACCATTGGGGCACAGAGGCTTGTTTGGAATCACTGTGGGATGCATTTTTTAATAAATTGCAGTATATGTAGTCATTATATATTGATTTGAAACTGTACCAAGTAGTAAGCAAATAAATAAATTATTATTATTATACATGAAACGGCAATAGAACTGATGATGAGACGATGGACTTTATGATACCTGTGTCTAAATATGTAAAATTAGACGACAGGGGATTGTTAGCAATATGTTTTTTTCTGCGACAAGGAATCGCCGAGTTATGACGATTGTTTGTGGAGTAAAAGAGACCCCTCTTTTTTTATTATCGTGTGGAAAAAAAGGCCATCTCATCGCCAGAGGAGAAACGAGAGGTGAACCTGTGTGATGAGAAGTAGAGGTGTATCTATGAGTGATCGAAGCGAAGCGAATTATGACATCCATTGATTTCTGTTATAGAAATATCCATTAGTGGAATTCATAAACTACAAGCCATTACCGTGACTTTGTCTATGTTTTTGAAAAAGAAAATCTCCGCCCTCTGGATACAATTAAATCAAACGTCATTGAGATCCATTCAATCGTTCAGTCTTGACAAGCGATACGGATAGACAAACAAATCGTCATATTTCTGATACTAGTGTAAATTACTACGAATAGATTTCTTTATTACACCATTCATAAACTCTAAAAGATACTATTGCATTGAGACTGAGAATGAGCAATAAATTTATCCTACCCACTTGGTCTCCAGACACAGAAGTGAACAGAATAAAATGATTAACGACTTTATGTAAATAGTCGTATGTTATTATTTCATTTGATATAAGACATTACGGCTCGAGAGAGACAAAGCACGGCGGCGAGGAACTACCATGGTGGCATCGATGTCTTGTCCATTGAGGTTGTAAATCAGTACGCGTGCTGCCGGCATGCGCCTGCGCAGGCTGCTAGAACTAGTTTTTTTAAATAATTCTAATGCTGTTGGTTGCAGTGGAGATGGCACTCCAAATCCAGTGGAAGGACTAATTCAGCAGCTGAAGGCCATGACATTAGTCTTTGGGCTCCGCTAAAGGTTTCAGCCAAGATTCAAGAAGACGTAATTTCGATACCTGTTTGAATTCGATGGGAGATGGATCGGAGGGGCAACTGTGGAGACTTGGGAATTATTTAAATCACTAATAAATTAATAATAAAATATATTTTTATGTACTGCCCTTCTAAATATATAGAAGGTATATCTGTGTGTTTATTTATACAACAGCCTCGGTGGTCTAGCGGTTTAGCACACCACTTTACTTACGATGGTCGCGATTCGATTCCTCGCACGGTACGAACATTTGTAGGGGAGCGGGGGGCACGTTGTTGCAGGGTAGGAAGTTACACGCGTTTTTACCGGGTTTTTAAACTCTTTGATGGATATAATTTGACTCATTTGTGTTGTTATAACGTCGTGCACTAGATAAAAACTATCAATGACCCGCCAAGCGCAAAGGAGCTATTGTGTGCATGTGTCTCGATTTCAACCAAGTAAGTAAAAAAATCACAATTTTTTATTCTGATGTCTATATCTTTTATTTCCTCAAAATTTTTAACCTTGAACGTTCATTACATATCTACCTTGAATTTGCAATATTATTTTATTCTGATATTGATATACATTAATGATGACTTCAATTTATATTAAAAAACGTATCATGGGGCAAGTAGTTACAATTGTTTGGGGTAAGTTGTTACATGTAACAACTACGCTTAAGCTTACTATAAAATTGAAGAATTCGTTAACGATAATAATGTTTTTATAGAAAAACTTCAAATCCATAGCACTGACAATATTATCTAATTACACTAATAATGAGTGCGTGTTATACTGTAATTATTTATATAAAAAAACATCTATTAAAAAGAGCAACACACAAGTTTGTTGCTCATTCTTCTTGTGATGAATCTGCATTCCGAATGAGTGGTAGAATCAAAATATGACTATTCAAAAGTGCTTGTAATGAGTTTATTTGAATAAAGATTATTACTATTTCTATAAAACTCGATTTAAAAAATATTCCCCCCAGTTGGTATAAAAATAATATGGCTGGGCAGGACTGGTTTCCTGGTTTTAAATGTTACAAGACTGTTTAAAATGATGTCTATTGTTTATAATGTTTTAAAATAATAATAAAAAAATATGTATAATTAATGATTGTGTTTATTTATCTACCGTAACATCGTGCCCCGATGATGTAACAACTAGCCCCAATTGGGGGGTAAGATGTTACAATCGACTTGTTTGTTAAATTTCCCATCGTGAAAAAATTACATACATTTTAATAAATTTTCTGTCATATTTTAATAGCTAAATAGACATACTAACTTTGTAAGTAATCCAATGTATAATTTGTTTCATAGCTTTTGTCATATTAACATTTATCTAAAAATTGTAACAATGTGCCCCCCGCTCCCCTATACATGCGTATGATTGTTTATATCGGTCTGGGCGTATTCTACACATATTAATACGTATTTTCGAAAAATGTATCCATGTATTTATATCAGTTGTCTAGTACCAACACAAGTTCTGCTAGCTTCGAACTAGATGGCGCTATGTGAATCGTCCATAGATATTATTATTACTAATAGTATAATAATTATTAATAATTGAATACGATTGGGAAATTAAACAAGAAACATACAACGTACGAAGTAGCTACTGTCTACTCTACTGACAAAAAAAACTACATTAATGTTACTATAATAACACTTGACATCTTTATGTTCAGTACGAAAACAAACAGTATGAACTAAACAAAAAGTTCTACTGAAATCGATCCCGCCGCTTTCACGCGATGATCGATTGCACTGTACCAAACATAAACATTTTTTTTCCAATGTTTTTACTCAAAAATGTCTGGCACATATCACATTTCTGTTAAGGCTGCATGCCCCTGACTACTCTCCGTATAATCCATGTTAGTATGAAAATGTTCTACAACAACTAACTAAACTCGATTAAATTTTGTGCATAACATAAGGCAACTAATATCATTGTTTCACATATGTCAGATTTTCTTTTAACAAGTTTGTTTTACAATTATAAAAACATGATTATAACCAAAGAATAGAATTACCTAATTTTCAGAAAAACGAAACAAAAGCTAATGTTTACTATAGTAATAATTGAATAAACCGGGTAGAACAAAACGTAATTATTTACGGCAAAACTTCGATTGAAAGTATTGCTATCACGCTCGGCTGAAGGGAGACACAAAGTTGAATAGAAGTAGAACAAATATTTTCATATTCAAATTAAAAAATCCTTTATTCATGTAGGACATTTTAGCCGCTCATGAACGTCAAAATTTATTTATATTTCCTACCGTCCACTGAAGAATACCTACATCGTAATTTTATTCCATGGACACACTCCTCTTAAGAGAACTCTAATAAAAACCTGCAACATTCCCAGCATAACACGTTACTATATTTCAAATGACAAAGCTAGTGTTACTAAATTAATTTAATAACTCCTACCGTCTATATATTTATAAATTTCTCTTTAATCCACTGACAATTGAATATAGAAAGAAATTGAATAAAAACTAATATCAAAGGATGCCATATAAGGCATAATCTACACACAACGTAATACGTCATTGTTCAATAACTAGAGGGCTGCTCGTAAATGGATATGTCGGTTTGTACCCGAGATGTATATTTTATTTGCCAATATGAAATGGACTGATGCCATCTCTTCTTTGATTTATTTCGCATTTATAATCAGTTTCCTTATTCGTTTTTGCCTGCAGATTCTTACTCAGCGCTAACAAGTTACACAGATCTGTTTTCTATATCGACATTCTCGTTTTTTTCACTAATAATCATATTACGGATCTTTTAATCTTCAGATTTACTATAGAATCGAATCTCAATATAGAGTAATCGTAATGTATCTGTAATTGACGGTATCGGCAGTTCAGCACATCGCTTTTGATAGTCGCGGATTCGATTCCTCGCACGGTAAATATATGTTGAGTTTGTTACCAGTTTTTTACAATTGGATCTGTATACTGAACTGGACGGTAGACAAAAAATATGACTAAAATGTCCTGCATGAGTAAATTAGTTTTTATTTTCATTTTATTCTATTTATTCTTTATGATTTGTGAACTTACTTTTAGTTTTGTCGAAGTCCATAAGGGAGCATCCATGCAACGGCCTCTGGGTGTATGTTCGGCTGGCTGGGTCACATCGATACACCGCACCAGGTTTGGTCACCCCCTCTACTTGGTATGGTTCCGCCTCCGGTGCACCCACCAGCACACTGTAGAAAAAAAGTTGCATTATATATTTTTTATTTAACCCTAATTATTTCACCTTGGTTTTGCATGAACCCAATTATTATATAGATATTAAAAAAAATACAGCGTATGTTTTCGTTCTTATTATCATATCAGCGAGATGTTTGTTATTAAAAGTACGTTATTTTATTAACGACTAAGGTATTAACTTTATCTCTTTGTTTTTTAGATGAAAGCTAACGTAGATCCGTTCTCGCATTACTATTCATATTCAAATTTCATCAATATCCCTATAGCCGTTTAAACGCGGAAAGTAAACAGGGAGACAGACAAACATGTACATATTATAGAAATGTCTGAACCGTGCGAGGAATCGAACCCGCGACCACCGCAACTAAACCGCTACATCACCGAGGCTGGTATCTAGTTCAATGCTGAATGAATTACAACTTCCAACAAAGACGCCGCGCACCAGTTGGATCGGCGCGATGTCCTTTTTTATCAACCCCGACGGACCAACGTGGAGGAATTTAAAAAATTTACATCATCATTATGTTACACGTACGTAAAAAAGGTTTGGTGGTCTTGATTAATGGAATGTCGTGACATCATCGTTTATTTGACGGTGCTGTTGTAAACAAAACAAATTTTAGTTATATTCATATTTATGTATAAATATAAATATGAATACCTCGGTGGTCTAGCGGTATAGCACACCGCTTTACGAACGCTGGTCGCGGGTTCGATTCCTCGCACGGCACAAGCATTTGTATTCATGAGTATGATTGTTTGTATCGGTCTGGGTGTTTTCTATGTATAATATGTATGTATTTACAAAAAAAATTATGTATACGTATCAGTTATCTAGTACTCATAACACAAGGTTTAGCTAGCTTAACTTGGGTCTAGATGGCGCTGTGTGAATTGTCCTAAGATTATTATTATTATATATCATCATAATATATCACAAGAATTTCGTGATTTTTGTCTTTTCTTGTCAGTTTGTCATATTTATGACTCATTAGAGACTCCTCTATCCCAATTGTAATGTCACATATTTTGAAATTTGAACTATTTACGTGAACTTGAGATATCATTACTGTTTTGTTTAATTCCGGAACCTCAGGCTCGAGTGACGGAGCATCGGGAGCTCTATAATAATACTACTGGTCGCCCAATGGTTGAAATTCGACCATAATTTATTTTAATTATAAGTTTGACATTATTAGATCCTATTACTTCTGTGCGTTGTATGTCAAATACATGGTATAGTGTGTAGTGTTTTAATTTATTGATTTAATCTATTTTTTCTGCATAATTTTAATAATACGTTAACATTCTGAATTCCTTCTCTATATCTAAATATATATAACTCAAAGGTAACTGACGTAGTGATCTATCAACGCACAGCCCAAACAACTGGACGGATCGGGCTGAAATTTGGCATGCAGCTAGATGTTTTGACGTAGGCATCCGCTAAGAACGGATTTTGATTAATTCTACACCCAAGGGGATAAAATAGGGGATGAAAGTTTAAATGAAACTTTGTCAATTTTAAACCGATCGGGCTGAGACTTTGCATAAAACTACATAGTAGTATGACGTAGGCATCTCCTAAGAAAGGATTTTGATAAATTCCACCCCTAAGGGGATAAATTAACGCGAGCGAAGCCGCGGGCAAAAGCTAGTAAAATATAAGTGTGCGTAATTTCGTATTCCTACATCCGCGCAATATTCGTAAAACGGGGTACAAAATTTATGCTTCACGTTTTAATATAATGATTATCTTATTATAGACATCTCGTCTATGTCTCTATTCGTCTCGACTATTTTGACTTTCAGTTAAGTTTCTTAAATCTATGTGTTTGGGGTCCATTACAGCCTCAGATTACGGATTCTGCGTGCTGTATCTCGGTCATATCAATACTGTTTACTATCAAGTACCTCATCCAGTGTTTCGATGAGAAGAAAACGGGTCAAACAATCGTGCGGCGACGCTGGCCGCCCGCCAGCACGCAAATAGACCGGGGTTCAATCTCCGGGCAGCCACTTGGCGAATCGTATTTCTATATTGCTGAATCAGTGATTTGTAATAGCTTAGTAAAATTGTGTTGAAATAAAACTTTGTAATTGCTTCTAGTTCTAAAGAGAGCTGAAACTAGAGTGGCAAATAAACTGACGGCCCACTTGATGGTAAGATGGTAAATGATATAGTCGCCTATGAACAGCATCTCGAATATCACGTTATCATATAACAACTGTGATATCATTACGCTGCCTTTCCGGATGAGATATCTTGCGTCCATATATCATTTCCTTAAATTATGGCATGAAATAGCTCTTCAACTGAAATTGTATGTTTTCAGCTGTCGGTAACTGATCATAAGTTGGACTGCTGTTGTTAATTCATATCTCTACATCACATAAAATTCTTATTTTCATATTGTAGCAATAATAATTACATTATTTAATCTATGGTGTTTACCTATAGTGTAGACCTCGAGTCAGTGACGAGAACAGATGACAAGGGCTGTCAAATGAACTGTAGAAATTCAGCAGAACAAAGTGAAATGACTTTTGCATACAAATTTTTCTAATATTATATATATTAGAAAAATTTGTATTATTCATAAAATCACAAGACGACCGAAAAAGTAACTTGCGAGAAAGAGCAACACTCTTTTAAATAATTATTGTAACTTCACATTTTTTAATTAAAATGTGTATACATTGTATGTTCTAAAATAATAAATTGTATAATCAACATAATGAGTTTAATTTCTCTAATAATAAACATATCAATCAATATATTTTCTTTGATGATTATTTGATCGCGGAAACAAGCCTTGTAATCAAGTGAACGGCTCGCTGTTCGTGACATCGGATGTGCGCAGGAGTCGATGCTCGGCGATATTTCTGGCGCCGGAAGAGGGGCTTATTTTGAGCACGTCTCACCTTAGCTAAAGGCTATAAACGCGTGTGTTAATCTTAAACGAGCTCATAGACAGGCAAATCGAACTAAACGCCTAGATTTTAAAATCGAATGTCATCGTTAACTGTCTTGCTAGCTGTACGATATGAATTTTTATTTTTATTTTTATAGTTGGACAAAAACAGATTACATTATAAATAAATTCATATATATATTTATTTATTATAATTTTTGACAGCCTCCGTAGTTTAGTGGTTTAACGCACCGTTTAGTTTCCGATGGTCGCGGGTTCGATTCTTCCTACAGTGCAAACATAATTTTAATTGTATTCATAAGTACGAAAGCTTCTATTGTTCTGAGTGTGTTTTCTAAGTAAAATATGTATGTATTTACAAAAAAAATATTTAAGATGTCATCAGTATCATCTATATATATCCCCAGATATATATAGATACACCTATATATATATAGATAACCTGTTTATCATAGGCAATATTATTATTATTTGATACACACACGCAGCACCTGTTTTCCAAGATCCTTAAAAGGGTGATAGCATAATAATTTCCGCTGACAATCTTCATTAGCAACAGATGGCAGACGTGTGCATCCAGAATTAGGGTTCCGCAGGTGTGAGTCACGCGTGGCGGGCTGCCAGCGGCACCTGGACCGCTTTTAGGTTTATTGCGAAACTGACCTGTCACGTTATGTTTGTTTCTTTTTAACATTACGTACTAATGAATGAGCGATTTCAACCTTCGAAGATTTCATATGAGCTATCATTTATTTATTTATTTGCTGTAAATAGGTTTCATTATTATTGCATAATTAGTTATTTTTAATTTCGTGTCAAATAAAAAAATTACTTACTAGTACTTACTACTATGCCCCATACAAATCTAGAAGAGATTTATATGGGGCACAGTAGTAAATACAGCTTATTGATTGCAAAAAAGAATAATCAGATTCCGTAACTATTATACCACACATAATAAGTTAAAAAAGCCTGTTCAGTTTCTATCAGAATTTAATACTATCTAATTTCATTTCACAGTGATATAGGACACCAGGCACTTGGACCGCTTTTAGGTTTATTACGAAACTGACCTATCGCGTTATTTCATTTTAACATTACGTACTAATTAGTGAGAGATTTCAATCTTTGTAGATTTCATATGAACATTTATTTATTTATTTATTTGCTTTGAATAGGTTACATTATTATTGCGTAACTTTTTATCATTATTTAGAAGCTTATTGATTGCAAAAAGAATAATCAAAGTCGGCAAGTAATAAACCACACATAATAAGTATAATAGTCTTATCAGTTTTCATTAAAATTCCTTGCGATATAATTTCATTTCACAATGATATAGGATACCATATCTTTACATAGTATAAAACAAATTCTTTTAAATTACGCAACGGATTTTAATATAGTTTTCAGCAATAGAGTGATTCAAGAGGAAAGTTTATATGTATAATACATGCGTGTTATAGCATAGAACAAGCCGAGAAATTCAAAGATTTGTAATGCATCTCTGCGGAGCCGGCACTGGTCTTTAGTATAATATAACAGAAACTTTATTCAAATATTTAGTATTTTTATATGAGTCTACCATCGCATTCGTAAACCAACTTAATCACAGCTTCAAATAATGTACTGAAGTAATTAGTTTCTCGTAGGTTCAATTATTTAATTTTATAAATTTTATGTCAATAATACAAACTACCATAATATACCAAGAAGCCATAACGGTTTTAAGTTAATTTATAAGATTATCAATAACACTTAATTTCTATAAACAAATAGAAGAAGAACTGTATAAACAAATAGAATTCATTTAAATATTACAAAATAAGCTTAAAAGACCCCAACAAATATTTACGACAGTTTTATCTTTTGTTACTTATAACAAAACATTTTTGCATGACCAAAACATAGTGAACTAACGAAATGATAATGTAATAACACTCTAAGTCACCACATAAACGCATGCGTGTATTCCCTTGCCTGTCATCCGTCTAATTCTTTCGTTACGCACCAAACTACAATGTTTCCCCTTTACAGCTCCAAACTGTAAAATCATG